TGTGACGAGGCCCCCCCCACCAGAATAACTGCTGCCGCCTCCTCCTCCTCCAACAGCACCGCCACATTTGCTGCCCGGCGCTGCAGCTGAGATGAAGCCGCCAAAGCTCCCACTGGTGCCCCCGCCCATGGCAGCGGCAGCAGTGCCTGCCTCCCCCTCCGCTCGGAACACCTCACCTAAGCAGGGGTGCTTTGGCAGCTTCACCTCAGCCGCAGCGTTGGGCGGCAAATCTGGCATTGCTGTTGGGGGAGGAGGAGGCAGCAGCAGATATTCCGCCGTTTTTTTAATATATATCTCTCCCAGTCTGGGGAAGTCCTTTGTGGGCGGCCACTCCGATCGATCCCATTTCGCTCCAAAGGGCTTTGGGGGACCTTTTGGTAGAAGTTGGCTGTCGATGATCCGAAGGGGATCGCTGCGGATCAGCTCGGACCCCGCTCCCTTCCGCCCATGACCCCGGGTGACTGGCCAAGGAGTCACGCTCTTCCTTTCGTGCTTCTCAACCCCGCAGCACGAAGAACCCGAAAGCCTGACTGGTCAGGAGCATCTGTTACTACGGATTCCTTTCCTCCACCAAATGCAGTGTCTGGCCGGCCAGTTCTAGCCGGCGTGTGCAAAGGACTTCCCCACAGATAGAAATCTCTGCGTGGCAGTTAGAAACTGCTGCGCGGGGGTTTCTTGCCACATGCGCAGCCGCGCACCTTAGAGGGAACAGTGGTCCCAATGAGATACTTGTTTTTGCCATGTACTTATGCTAATGCCATCCACTGAAACTGTACACACTTGGGTTATCAGTTGGCGCAGTCATTCAGATAATTTTTTAACTATGTACAATGCTACATTTTTGAAGAATAATTATAAGTGAATACAAATCTACTATTTACATACAAGGTAAATTTATGAAGTAAAAAGTAATATTCTCCAACTTTACCTTGTTCAATTATTTCCTTTCTCTTAAGGAAACAGGACATTTAAGTTATGCATGTCCGAAAAACATGCTAGGAGAGCGTGAGCCTCCCAAAAAGAAAGACAAAAAGAAAAGAAAGAAAGTAATTGAACCAGAAGAAGAAATGTGAGTAAAATATGTACAACACATATTCTTCTTCTCATTTACTGATTTAAGTGCCTGATCTATACAATTCATATATGGTTTTTTTTGTTTCCTTTATGCTGCTCAGAGAAGAAGAAGAAGAAAGTGAAGATGAGGGTGAAGACCCTGCTCTTGATAGTCTCAGTCAAGCTATAGCTTTCCAGGTACTAAAATAAATATTTAATACAGTATTCTCTTCTTTTTAAAGCAATTTAAGGCCCTCGGAATTTGCAGTTAATGATTGTTCTAAGATTTTTTGTTATTATCTTTGTTTTGCTCTTGTTAACTTTAAGATCTGCTACTTTGCCAAAGTCTTCTATTTTTTTGTATTAATTTAGACCCAGTTTCTAATGGTTCTTCTAGAATAAATACTAGATTGTCCACAAACAATTGAACTTTATATTCTTCTTTTTTAATTTTTAGTCATTTTATTTCTCGTCCCTGTCTAATTTCCAATAGTAGTACCTAGTTAAAATGAATATTAGGCACGATAGGGGGCATCCTTCTTTTACACTTTCAAAATATTACATTTTTCTGTGACGTCTCCATTTATTAGTACTTTGCCAATTGAATTTTGCTGTTTGGACGTCTTTAGTGTGTCCAAAAAGATCAGTGCAACTTTTTCCGGGATGTGCTTTGTAATATTCTAGTGTGTTTGTAATTATTCTCATATTCATTATTCATTTATCTTTTAGGTAGAAATCCATTATGGTCTGCATGAATAATTTCATTTAGTATTTTTTTTAGTCGAAATTATAGATGTGAATATTTTGTAGTCTGTATTCATCAATGGAATGGGTCTGTAATTTTTTATCTGTTGATGGTCTGAATCTTCTTTTGGTATAAGTGTTATATATACCTCAGTCCAAATTTTTGTTAGTTTATCCTCTGTGAGTGCTAAACTTGATCCAGATGTCAACTTGTAAAGCATTGGTATAACTATTATCAGGTTGGCATTCGAGGGAGGATTCCATGCATATCTTTGGCCAGAGTTGGATCTCATATTTCTACAACCTAGTTCATGAATATGATTTATGACGCATAACAGAAGGGAGGAGATAGAGGGGTAAAGTTCAAACGCAATTAAGCGGCAGCCAGTTTTGGCTCCACAGAAGATCATACCAAGATGTTGATCCTAATAAATGAATGGTTTTTTTAAAACTTTGTCTTGAAGCTCGTAAATTAATTAGGTCATCTCTTGGGAACTTCATAGAGAGCCAAACTGACTTTTAAAAATCTATCAAAATTTCCGGGTTTCCTGAATCCCGG